CATTCCTCTGCGCTTGTTTTGAATTGCTCTTCTGAGTTTTTGGAGAGTTTGGCAATACCTTTGAGAGTTTATTGTAGTGCCTCTTTCCAGGAAGTCCACCAAAATTACACCTTTTCTGTCCCAAAAAACAGTCGCCATCATCTTCCTTGCCGACATTGTTTGCATGCATTTCTTGGGTTTTTGGGGAGAACTTGTGTGCCCCCACTGCATTGATTGCAATTTCGTTTCACAGTTCACATGTTTCACCCATGTTTCGTCACCAGTAACGATGCGATCGAGTAAAGAGTCACCATCCTTATGGTAAGCGTCCAAAAAGTTCAACGCTGCAGCCATTCGCTGATTTTTGTGGTCCTCTGTCAAGATTTTTGGAATCCATCTTGCACAAAACTTGTGGTAACCAAGCTTTTCGCTGATGATTTCGTGCAACAAACTTCGCGAAATTTGTGGAAAAACTCAAAGAAAGTTCCGTTATTGTGAAATTTCGATTTTCACGGACTTTAGCATCGACTTTTTCGAGAAGTTCGGCGGTCACTATGCTGGGTCTCCCACTTCGATCTTCGTCGTGAACATTGGTTCGGCCATTTTGAAATCTTATGACCCACTGACGCACTCCACCTTCAGTGATAATGTTGTCCCCATACACTTCACGAAGCTGCCGATAGATTTCTATCGGTTTACAGTTTTTTGCAGTCAGAAACCTTATTACTGAGCGCACCTCGCAGCTCGCGGGATTTTCAATTAACGCAGACATTTCAAACCGTCACAGTATCTGAACGGAGCACAGCACGAACCTCTCACTAGCACGGCTAGATGCAGACTGAGCTGCGCAACGCTCTGACCCCAAGATGGCCGCGCTAGCCCCGCCCCTAGCGGACACAGACGGAAACGTAATCTACTTCCTGGATGGCCCTCGTACTATAGCTAAAAATACTTTTTATCTCCAGCGCGGGAGACTCTGTATCGGAAATTCTAAAGATATGCTTAATTTAAAACTATATTGCTCTTGAACTGAATTTCATGGTTTACGTGAAATGAACGTGATATTTAATAAATAAATGTAGCAGACAAAATGTTAAAAAAAAAAAAAACGCGTCTTTGGACGTAATTTAAAATCTGAAACCTTTCGATTTTTTTTTATACTTACATAGCTAAAGTTAGCTTCTTAACTTAAACTGTTATGAAACTGGACTTCCCCCTCCTGGGAGACACTAATTTTTGCAAATGAACACAGTTTTCTCACCTTTCGTCTACACTCATGGACACAATCGTATTTTAGGAAATTTTCTATTTCTTTTCGTTTTCTCACTATATTTTCTCACTTTTTTTTCCTCTCCTCTCTATGACATTTGGGCAATTTATTTCATTTTATTTTATCAAATATTTCGTCCTGTCCTTTCGAACTTGCATAAAATGTACGAAGCTCCTTTTTACTCTCCTCTGAAATACGAAATTGGCCTTTTTCTATATACCTTTCTTTCGCACCTAAGCTTGAATTTTCGCCCATTGGACAGAAAGGTTTAGTGGGTGCAAAACAAGACAGCTGTCTACTTTGTATGTGCCAAGGAGGTTAGAATAGAAGGAGGGAGGGTTCGCAGTTTCCTCCACTATCGGGGATTGAAACTTCACCGAACAAGCGGCGTCCATGTTTGTAACTTCAAAATATTGCATTACGGCAGTGAAACGTACGTGTTTTTAAGCTGTTCCGTGCATGTATTTTCCTCTAAAAATATGTAAAATTTATAATGAAATACTTCGCTATTGTTAGTCTTTTGTTTTAAAATTATAAAGATAATATCCGTAATTTACTACGTACGGAATATCATTAACAAATAGTTCGAAATCTTGTGCATGTACATAACATTAAAGCCTTTAAAAATATTGTTTCTGCATATTTCAAGAATTTGTATAGGTTTTATTAGCAACCTGTTGGGTGTACTTTCCAATTTTTCCTTTAAGAAGTGATATTTCTGATTTATTCACAATATTGTAATTTATTAAAGTATCATTTAAAATAATTTTAACCTGAAATTAATAGCAGATAATTTTCTAAAAAAATAGTCACAAGTTGCATTTTTTTTAATGAAAGTTTAAATAGATTCTTTTCACAACCAGCAACCTTATAACAACAAGAAAATAAATATTAATAAAATAAAACAGATTTATGTGAATTCAGTGATTTCAGTTTATGCGCCTTTCATATTTATGAATCTCAAAGAAATTGCCTTGAATTAAGCTGAATTACAGAAATATACCTATACCTATATTTTTGGATACATCTTTTCACATGTTCAGTTGTGTAAATATTTAACTTACTTTTATCGCTATGCTGCAGACAAATTTGTAAATTTATGCAAAAAAACAAAATTTTTAACAACAGAAAAGTTAGTTTATCTTGATCAAATGCTCAAATTATATTCCTAACAGTTCATAAAACTTAAAAATTAATAATAATTAATACATAAAGAAAAGCATTACTTTGTTTAACACCTTTACAATTCATAAAAATAGTAAGAATTAGTGTCTTACTTTTCATGAAAATTATCAAACGAATTACCTAAAACGTTCAAATTATACAGTTTAAATTCTAGCATACATCATTGTATGTTAAGGAACAAAGATGCCATCTATAAACAGAAATATTAAAATGTATTTAACATATTTTGATTATTATTAAGTCCTTTTTTCACATCTGGAAAGAAAACAACATGACATTGTGATATTTTTCACCTAACTTATCAAATTACATAAAAAAAAAAGAAAATCAATACTTACGCGGAAAAGTAATCCCAGGAACCTTTTTCGAAAATCTGTTTGTGCATTCATATACAACACAAGCTGACATGCTTCAAAAAGAAAAGAAGAAAAAATAGCGTAATTACGGACTTCCTTGCACAAGTCACAGCGATAACAGTAACATGGCCGCCAAGCTTCACCGTTTGAGTTGAACCTTCCCTCCTTCTATTCTAACCTCATTGGTCTGTGCAAGGCCAACTTATACTCAAGGCCTGCCAGTGTGAAAATATTCTTTTGTGTTTTCGGTCGTTTCGGTTGCCTACGTGATATTCCTACTGACCGCAAGATGACTCTACAATTCTGCTAGACTTTGCGATGTTTACAAAAATCGGAAAAGTACCAAAAACGAATTCTGTCTTGTTATATGCAAAGTTTAAAAACGATTAATCCATAGTAGTCAGAAATTGTTGATTTCTTATTAGTAAAAATATTTTAATTAGAAGGAAAGCATGGAATTTTAAGCTATCTCATTTTTTTTTTCACACATAAACACCAGCTATTTGATCTCGATTTTAATTCCTGCTTTCATCTAGACATGCGCTATTCTGAATTGTACGCATTACAACTATTTATTCTAATTTAAAGGTAATTCAGAGTATACACCTTATTTTTTAATTATTTATATAGTAAGAAGTTAACAGATAGCTTCAGATCATGTACTATTTCAGTGAAAAATTTTCAAAATATTTCTATCGGCTGTACTGTACTGGCCAAAAAATAATTTAGTATCCCCTATCAAAGATGTAATTAACATATTAATACACCGTGATCTAAAATTTGTATATCTATTTCCACGGCATTGGAGTAAAAATATTTCTTAAAGAGATTATAGTAAAAATATTACTTAAAGTGATTAAATTTTACATACTGAAGAATTTTTTTAAATTATTAAATAACTGTTTTTAGGAAATCTTAAACAATAAAAGTTTAAATAATGCAGATTTTGATCTCTGTGCAGTATTTGCATTGCAGATATTCAAAGACATTCTAAAATTATTAGGCCAAAAAAGAAAAAAAAGTCTTACTGTGGCATAGATTTTGAATGAAACTCAAACCCAAAGTTGCTTTTTTGACTAATTTTAATATTACACAGGTGTGTTTCTCTTCACTTTCATTTGTATTCTAAATTTCATTGATGTTAACATTAAGAAACTAGTAATTGAATTAAGTGCATTGCAGCAATTTACATTTTCAGTGTTAGAGAAACTATCTTTTCAAATGAAAGTTTTCAAATGAAAATAATGAAATTTTTGATAAAGCTATTGATCAAATCAATCTGTTTATTATAAATAAAAGAGACACAGACATCCTAAAATATATTTTAACAGCACACAAAAAAAAATAACTCTCATAATCACAATATATACTTAAGAAAACGTTCAGTTCTGTATATCAAGGATAAAATTTGAAAACTTGCAATGGCTGAATATAAATAATATATCCCATCACACGTGCCCACAATGCTAAGTAGAATGAGGTATATATACACAATTTTAGATATATATGCATTTAAAGTTAGGCAAAGAAAACAAGCTTATTAAATGCATCACTTAAATATACAGCAGGTAGACATTTTTACACACATACAACATTTATCAGAATCACATGTGTACAAAATTTTATGGCTGGCAGCGTGAGATACTGATATAGTTCATTATCAAGAATAATGTATACATGAAATAAAATTACTGAATTTCACAAAACAATATTATCACTATTAAGCACACATACACATAAGTGCCATCTTGATACATTACCTACATGTAACTACCTGACATAAATCCATGTGTACCATTCCCATTCCAGATTAATCAGAAGAAAGTTACAAACAAAGTTTTGAAAATAACAGCATTAGATGCACAAAGATTTCAGAATTAAATAAGCAGAATGAGGAATTTCAGAACTGAGTTCAATGAGGTATATACAAAATTTTAAACCTATATGCATATAAAGTTACGCAAAAAAACCAAGCTTGTTAAGTATAGCCCTTAAACATACAGCAGCTAGACATAAAATACACTTTTTGTTAATAACGAGCAACGTTACAAATAGTGAGCGTATAGCAAAATTGTAGCAGAATGCGAGCGCCACCTAGTGATGAATTTCGCGAAAGCCACTGAAAACTGGGAACCGGAATTTCGTTCAGTCTGGCAGGCCTTGAGTATAAGTTGGCCTTGGTCTGTGTGTCAGATTATAGTTTTTTTTTTTGGCAACGGGAACTCTGTTTACTGTAAATAGTGGCAAGTGTCCGGTTTGTTTCGGTCAGGGCTTAATTTTTATTTAAGAATGTAGAACCTAATGTTTTGTTTAATAATTGTTTAATTAATTTCCAAATTTCGGAGCAGATGGCGGAATATGGAGTGCATCATGCGACAACTGGTGTCAATAAGCCTTCGGTTTTTGAAGTTATAGGACAGGATAACTTAGTTTCAGGTCTTAGAGCTGCATTTCGACATATTTTTAAGGTTTTGTACTTTTATTATCATTGTTGCCTTCAAGCTGTCAGTTTTTATTCACTTACATTATCAGTATTATATGATTAAGGAAATTGTTCTGGATTTTTGCAGGTGTTAGCTGATAACTATCCTGAAAAGTGTGGACTGTTGTACCGTTATTTTGACGAAGGTTATACTGTTGTAGATTCGGTATTTCAATATATTCATCTACGCTTGAGAGGTACATGTTATTTTCTTAGTATGAATTTATGAATGTTATAAGAATACTACACGGTATCCATGTACACGTCGACCTATTTTCACTTAAGCATCCCAGAATTGCACAAAAATGGCATTGCGCACACTCTTGATTTTATCCATATACACTGCTAAAGTCCTAGCTAGTAACCTTTATCGCCTTACCAAAATGTCGCCAAACTACCTGTTACCATATTCCAAAGATTAGCGTTTTTTTTTTTTTTTTTTTTTAATATTTTACATATATTTCCATACTTATATATACTGATAAGCCAAAACATTATGACCTTCCCTATATTTTTTAATGAACTCATCTAGATGACACTGAGGGCATGTAATTAAGTAGGAATGATATTCAAATGCTCCTGAAGAAAGTAAGGAATCATTATTGCACTTACTTTTGTGAATGATAGGAAAGGCTGTTGATCTAAATGAATTTGATAGAGGGCAAATTGTAATGACTGCATGACTGGTAGGTTGTTCATGATCTGCTGTTGTTAGTATTTAGGCAAAGTGTATAAATGATGGTGAAGCCAGCAGTAGACACCAAGGTATTGGAGACCAAACATCATCGGAGACTGTCCCACTTGGTAGAGCAAAATTCACACCATACAGTGGCCCAGCTGACAGCCCAATACAATGCAGGTCCAAATGCAAGTGCTTCGGAACACGCTATTTAGCGGACACTGTTGGATACAGGACTGCATAGTAGATGTCCCACTCATATGCTTCTGTTGATCAAGCCTCATTATCAAGTGTGACTACAGTGGGCCCGGGAACATCGAGACTGGATGATAGATAAGTAGAAGACACTTCCCTGGTCAGTTGAATCATGATTTCTCATTCATCCCATTGATGCTCATGTCCAGGTATGTCACTTTCCACGCAAACAATCATCCCCCCTCCCCGTACAGCAGCTTAAACACAGGGTGGTGGTAGCAGTATTATGCTTTAGTAATGTTCTCATGGGCATCTCAGAGATTCTTAGTTCTGGTAGAACAGACCATGAAAGTTAAGGACTATATGAACATAACTGCTGATCAGCTGCACCCTTACATGGCATCTGTCATCCCCCCAATTGAAAAGGGAATCTTTCGACAGGTCAATGTCCCATGTCACAAGGCCCAAATTGTGTTGGAGTGGTTCAAAGAGCATAAGGATGAATTCCAATTAACGTCCTGGCCACGTAACTCGTCAGATTTTTAACTCGATAGAGCACATTTGGAGTGTCATAGAGCAGCAGCTCAGAGCTTAAACATTACCATGTTGGAATATTTCAATTTTGCATGAACGCTGCTTAGACATTTGGTATGACATATCTCCAGTCATCTACTAAGAACTTGTGTCATCCATGCCAAGGCAAGTTGCAGCTGTTTACAGGCCAAAGGTCACGCAAAGCATTATAAAGTGGTCATAATGTTTTGGCTGTTTAGTGTACATATATTATATAAACATATGCATGTATAGTGAGACTTTCTTTCTTTCATTCTTTTTTTTTTTTTTTTTTTTTTTTTTTTTTTTTTTAAGTTTCCAACTAAATGTTATAATGGGCATTATTAAGCAGCTGTTTACTCAAATTTATATAAATTTACCAATCTGTACTATTAATTAAATCCCACGTACCTTAATTTAAATGTTACAAACTGATAAGTAGGAGCAATAATTTGTATTCAGCAGGTTGCTGTAGCAGGGTTGGTCGCCAAAACATCGCCAAGTTACCATAATCCAAAGATTAACCGATTTTTTTAATTTGTCTGTTGCTTCACAATTTTTTTTTTTTTTTAAATTTATCTTTAATTTTGTAATTTTTACACTGCTTACTTCATTCTGTAGAACTTGGGCGGTAAAAGTATATTTTAGGGAACCCCTTGGCGATTTTTGGTGGTATATGGATACCGAGTTTGTGCAATTCTTTGACTTGTTATTTTGACTTTCTGTAGCATCGCCACTACACGAAGGCAGAATAACAAGACAAAGATTAATTTGTGTCTTTTAGATTCAGAAACAGCCTGTTTTATATTTATTTACTTCTTTCATTGTATCAACCTCCTGATGACAATGCAGTGGAATATGTAAATTTCATTTTTGTTTTTTCCATGTTTTGCCACTATGCTTCTGTTATTTTTTTTATTATTTTTTTTATATATATGGTTTATTCCAAATTGAATACGAAATGAATTTTTAGCTATTTTAAATTTTATTTTGTATTATTACCATCATTTGTTGCTGCCATCTGTGTGCAATTAGGTTAGGTTTTTAAACTCCTTTTTACTTTGTATTTATTCATTTTATATACATGTAGTAATTCTAAAGGTGATTTTCAGATTAGAAAAACAGATGTGTAGATACTTTAAATGCATAATGAAGAAAAACTAATAGATGTTAGCGTAGATAACAAGACACTATTTTACTTCTTAATGACTAATTCTGAGGACGCATATTCTCTTTTATACATCACTACAGATGTGAAACTTTTATTGAAAATAAACTTGTATGTAAATTTATAAATACTAGCAGTAGCACAATAAGAGAAACTTGCAAATTGAGTCCTTGATTTTTACACTATCAGCATCAAATGCACCATGTTCAACTTGTATCAGGCACTAAGATGAATTAACAGTTAATTTATTTATTTACTGATTTTGCTTGAAAGTATATTATAGTGAGATTTGTTTAAAATCAAGCAAAATTGGCATAATACTAGAATATAAATTGTTTGTAAATCTTGCCTGAAAATTTTATTTGCAGACCTTAAATTTGGGTAATTAAACATTTTTATTATATTCATTTCCTTATTTTGCATGTTATGCATTGGTTAACACATTAATATGCAAATACTATAGCCAAATTTTGAATGTATGTATTCATTAACATTAATTTCATCCTATTCATTAATATTATTATTTTTTCTTTTTTTAATTTGCTGTTCTGCACCATGCCCTTTATGAAAATTCAGTACAGTACAAAGTCCATAATCCAGACTTGTCGGGGCTTCGGCGATTCCGGATTATAGATCATCAATTTAAACCTGGTAAAATGTCATGCAGAAATTATAAAATAAAAAATATGAAACCGTAATTTATGAAATAAAGAGCAGTTATGAAGTTAAAAAGCTTAATATTTATTTGTTTACTTTATTAAACATTTCTTTCAATGTAAGTTGTTTAAGTTGCTTCATTTTTTTTGTGCTAATACTTTCTCTTTAACCCTCTGAGCGGTACGGCCAGAAAATTCCGCATAGAAGGCTGCCTTCTGCATTCATTATACATGAAAATTTCTGCTAGTTTTTAATGTATCTGATTTTGGTTTGGGTATATATTGGAAGAAAAGGAATGAAGGTAAAAAATGAGAGAGTCATTTTTTAATTAAAATCAAGAAAATACCACTTATTCATGACATTTTGAGGAACTTTGAATTTTCAGGGCTAAACCCGTAACGCTTGGAGGGTTAATTCTCTCTTCTATAAACAGACAATTTCGGTTGATCTTTACATTATGGTAACTTGGCGTTTTTTTTTGGCGAAAATTTGGCAACCAACTCTCCTACAGCAACCCTCTATTTTTTTTTCCCGCCGCCATTTTGTCTTCACGAAGTAAAGACATGTTTCTTTTCTTTTTATCTACTGAACACTTCTTCCAACAATCTACTAGCTGAATTACACTTATGCTAGAAATTTTATCTAACAAAACTGCTTAATCATGACAAATATTCACTGCAAAATTGTTAAAAAGTGCACAATACCATACTCCTGACACGTTTTTCAAAATAACACATACACATAAACCATGTACACGCCGACTTATTTTTACTTAAAAAAACATCCCAGAATTGCATAAAAATGGCATTGCGCACACTCTTCACTATATCCATGTACACTGCTTTTTTCTCATAAATTAGAAAAATTTCACGAAAATACATGACAATTTTCTCAATCTTTAAACCCGGTAAAAAGAACATATATGAAATTACCTGATCATGGAAAAGTATTTACCTTTTCCAAATATGAACATTTCCACATATAAAATAAATAAAATATCCAAAAACTTTTAACTCTAAATCATCTATTATATTATAAACGTCACCAACGAATTCATACCGCAACCATTACAAATACTTAGTGTCAGATATTTAAATTATTTCCATGCACGTTTACTTCAACTAAAACGTATACCAAATTCCTACAAACATAAAATTCACAAAATAACTATCATTTAATTAAAATATAATTAAATTCAAAAACTTTAAAAAAATATAAATGAGCACATACATTAAATTAATAAAATTACCTTACAATCCTAATTACTTTAAACTAAATCATTGCTAATAACAATTTTCCCAATAATACCAAATTCCTTTACTTCCACCTTACATTTAGAACAATGCATAAAAATAATATCCTCAAATAATTAAAAATACTAACTTACCTAATCTTCTTCAGAATCTTGATTACGTGTCCGATAAACTTTTCTTCTTTCTGTTTCAGGATCTTTAAAATCATACTTATATTTCACAGCAAGGTACCAGGTAAAATAAATAACTTAATAAAACATCTTTATTTCTATCTCGCACAACCTTAAAGAAACATTTATTACTACTCTTTTCAATACCACTAAATACCCATTTCGAATTTACTTTAGTTACGGCCATGGGATCCAAAAATTCACGAACACTGTTTCACACAACACAGAATAAAGCCAAATACAAAATTTCCAGATTTTTTCCCGATTTCCCCCCTTTTCTGATTAAAGAACCGTAATTCGTCCATTAATATCACATGACATATCGCATGATCTCTCATTTCCCTCACACAAAATAATGCGTAATCGGAACTGAGTACTGCTCACATTATTACCAAAGTCCCAGGTAGTAACCTTTATCGCCTCCAAAATGTCGCCAAACTACCAGTTACCATATTGTAAAGATCAACCACAATTTCTTGTTCAGTTACAAAGTTCCAATGTTCAAATCCTGTAATTGCTGTGT